ATTTCTTAACAGTGAGGGTGAGCACTGGAACAGGAACCTGGAACAGGCTGCCCAGAGAGGTTGTGGAGACTCCTTCTCTGGAGATCTTCAAAACCTGCTTGGACGCAGTCCTGTGCCACGTGCTCTAGGTGACCCTGCGTGTGCACGGGGGTTGGACTAGATGATCTCTAGAGGTCCCTTCCAACCTTAAGCATTCTATGATTCTATGATTTGTTTGAAATGGCAAACACATCTGCTTCAGCCTTGCTGACCTCTCCCACAGTCCCATTCCATGGAGCTTCATGCAAGTGAGTGCTCAATAACCCGGCCCTTTGCACAGGCCACGTTTAGATCCCCTTTCTCAAGTTCTTGAAGCAGGTGGATTTTATATGAGCGTGTCTTGTGATGTTCAAGGAGAATGTCTCTATTCAGGGAGTAAAAACAGTGCCGCTTAATGATAAGACCATTCGAAAACAAGCAGTGCAGCTCAAACTGCAAGGCAACAAACATAAAGAATCCTAAGAATAATTTTTTAAAAAATGCCTCTGGAAAAAAAAAAAAAACACACACAGTCTACTCATAGCTGTTCACTGGAAAAAAAGAAACTTAAAAGAAACTTCACTGTTACGTGTTATGAAATTTTGCAGCTCACTTCCAAGGGCAATAAACCACAGCAATACATGTTCATCAGTTAGCTTCCTGAACTCTGCTGGAAGTGGGCATAAGTGTCAGGAGTTTTCATCGGAGTTGTTATGATGACATGTTTTTCCATTAAAAGCATCTAGCCCCAGCAACTGCAAAAGAAACAAAACAACAACAGAAATGCCACCACTTGATTTTATGTTTCCTTATCTCACATATTCTTAGTGATTTTCCATCTCTGCAAGTGAGGTTTTAATTAGCTAAAATCTTCCAGCTCTAAGCAGGTTGTAGGTGCTGTCCTGCAGCCCCACCACAGAACAGCAGGCAGATTATCAATCTGAAGCAACACAATTTGACTGCGGAATCTAAAAATTCTGGGACACCTGAGCTGCTCCACTTGACTGAACTGAACTGAGGGGGATGGTGTGTTCATGACCACTGCTTGGTGCCTGTTTGTATTTGCCATCTCTCCAGCAGCGTAAAACCCTTTGCAGGAGAGATCAGGCCCTAGACTGGATTCCTGGTTTACTCTAGCAGTAGCACCTCAGAGGCAGCAAATGTTGTTCTAGTCCTATGACTGCTTCAGTAGTAGTAAGAGCAGAACTGATTTCCCAAAGCTTCAGAGGAAAGCCGCTGGTTGCACAGTATTAGGTCTCTGTGGATCCTGTAATAATAATGCTGTAATTTATCACTAAGGGCCTGACACCGCTTAAACCTCATCATATCTATACCCACTTTAAAATCTTCTACTGAAGGATCCTTTAGAATAAGGGCAGATCCAAAGGTTGAAGTTAAGTCTGTAAGAGACTGTACCCAGTTCTGCTTTGAGATGTCTCAGCAGCTTCAGATAACTTGAACTAAGCTCTACTTAAAATTTTCTCTTTTGGGACGCTATTTCAGAATCTACTTGTGACAGTCAAAATCCTAAAATATGAGCAAAATCCTTGCTGCTGTGCTCCCTAAGGCCCTGAATTCTCCTGAACAGACAGCTACTTCTTGAGCGCATTAAAAGCCAAAAAAAACCAACTCTGAAGGCCAAATTCATCCCTGGTGTAATTCATCTGAACTTAGTATCAGTGGAGCAGCAGTGAACTTGGCCCCAGCATGTGCAGAGCATGTCACATCACTACTGGAGATCCAATTCTGTGCAAGCCACAGAGCTCTGAAACACTTGTGTTTCAGCATTGACATTTCAGGAATTTGTATAATTTTATTGCCAGTCAGACAGAATAAATTATCAGGGGATGACTTGTATCCTAAGTTTGCTGGGATCCTTACTTAGAACTGGATACCTGGAGTTTCCAGGGAAGCTTCTGAAATCCAATCTTGGTGGCCTTGTACAAGACACTTAATTGCTCTGAGCTTTCCTCCCCTACCATATGGAGTTTTAACACACGGAGTGACCTTCACGAGCTGGTGGGGGAGGTTCAAAAGCTTCCACCTAAGAAAAACATTCCCTGAGGCTATTCTTGTAATGGGTGCAGGACTAAGCCTTTTGGATGTGCCTACAGAGTCCATCGGCACCAGGAGCAGCACCATAGTTTTCTGTGGGCCTCTGCTTGGAGCAGTCCATGTTTGAAGCATCTCACCCAGGTATCGTGCTGCTGTGAGCCACATGGACGTGCTCACAATTACTATTATAATGGAAAGGGACCATCAGAGCACAATGTGCTTTGCTATGACGCTGGGGCCCTTCAAGGGAACACGTGTCAGAATGACGTGTCCTTGTTGTGCCACCTCAGCACGACAGCTCTGTTGGAAGCAAGTTACTCATGACTGTACCTCATATTTTAAAAGTACTTTCCTGGTACCTGGAAAATCTAGCTGTTCTTTCGTAATTCTGTCCCCCATTTACCTCAGCAGTCACGTTATTCATTAGGGAGTGAATGCACTGAGGCAGCTAATGCAGAGGATCTTGGTTTTTTAAACACTCTGCCTGGCTAAAGCTCAGATTAATCACATGAAACGCAGCTCAGCCTCACCTCAGCACAGACCAATCAAATTCCCTTTTTTATTGCTGTATTTGAAAAGAACAAGAGAGCAGAGCAATACCAAATGAAAGCCAGAGGGCAGGTTAAGTAGCCTGGTTCTAAAATCTTATTAATCACTGATTTGAATTATTATAAGATGCATTTTTATGATCTTGCCCTGTTCCCCAAATATGCTCTAAATTCATTGGCTAACACCATTTCCGTGGTCTAATTCTCTGTGTTAGTCACTAACTTTTGATACTTACACCTACTAAGTACAGCGATGTTAAGTACAGGGAGCAGCCTATCTGCCACTCTATCAGGGAGTGTCAGAAAGGTGTCTGTTACTCCATAGCCTCTGCCCCTCACCTAAACCTGCTTGTTTCTGTCCTCATTGGTTATTTTTTTGTGTTCTACATGTCAACTTGCTTTTGGAAAGCAGGAAGAAGGGTGTTTTATTATATTTGCACATCACCTAGCACTGTGGGGTGCCTTTTGAGGCTGCCCAGCAGTTTATTAGTATAGCTGCAAACTACCATCATCTGTCAATAAACCTCACCAGAAGCCTGGAAAACTCCGATTTTGTGTTAACACACAGCACAAATGCCAAGCCCTTACAAAAACTGTTGGGAAATGAAGGACCCCCATAATCACCAAAGCAACTGAAATTGTATTATGGCTGAATTTAGCATTATACTTTAACAGAACTTCAGCTTGCTTCTCCCTTTCCCCCCCATTCCCACTGCTACTCAAGACAGGACTTGTGATTTCAATGTGTCTTCATAGGTAACCCCAGGAGTTTAATTATAACCATTAGAAAAGCGACACTGTATTTTAGCTTCATGTCTGAATGAGCTCGCTTCACGTGCATAGAAAGTGGCGATTACAAGGGTTCTTCAGGATGAGTTGAGGCATCGAGATGACACCATGCTTTAAATGGGGGGAATAATAATAATAATAAATGGAGTTACAAATAAAAGAAGCAGGAAGGGACCGAGCGCCCGTGCCAACGCTCCGCCCGTCCAAGATGGCGGCGCCGCGCGCGGCTCTCGCGACACTTGCGGCGGGTTCCCGCTCTCTCCACGCCGGGGTCCCTGCCGGGGGGCTCCGCGGCCTCCTCAGCACCCCGGATGCTTTCCCCGGGCCTCCGCGCCGCCCGGCAGCGAAATAAATAAGAAAACAAAATGCGCACGATATATGTTGTAAATACTGTGATGTATATACCGCAGGTTGGACGTTTTGCACTGCTGGAAGAGTGTGCAAATGCCCGGGCTGCTGCTTTACTACCTCACTGATCTGTGCGAGCCTGCATGGTATCAAGGAGAGCTGATGAATGTGTCTTATTTTCCTTATTTCCCTTTAAACTGTGTTGCAAATGTAACTTCTTTATTGTTATTATTATTTTTAAGACCTGTTTAATTTCAGTAAAAGAGCTATCTTTGCATTCCTCTAAGGAAGAGATATTCCTGAGTGTCACTTCTGAGTTTGGAAAGCTTAAAACGTCTCAGGGGGGAATTTCAATTTTTTTTTCTGCCCTTGGACGTAGGGAGAAATACTGCCAGAGAAACTTAAAGTTTCCTTTGAGCAGGCGTCTGTCCAGCCGCTTATCCTCGGGCACTGCAGTGCCACCAGAGTTTTTGGCTGCTTGGCTTTGGTTTTATTCCCACAGTTTGGGGATGTGCCTTTCTCATCTCCCAAATGTGACTGGAAAGTTGCCTTTACCTGCTAGTTCTACCGCCCAATAAAAGGGCAATGTTGGACATAGTTGTCACGTGTATTGTAAAACATGAGGTATCAGAAAAGCATCTGGACCAGTATTTGAATTCTACGAGTTTTTTAGCAGACATTTTTTTATTTTATTTTTCTTAATGATGAAAGAAAAAGACAAGAAAAAAAATCCAATAATTTAAAATATTTGGAAATTAGTGTTTTCATGTCTGTACTGATATTTCTTAAAACTTGTCTTCATTAATTAACCTATTGCAGTTTATGAAATGTACTTAAGAACTGTTTTAGCAGATAGCTACCAATAAATTTCTAGAGGGGTTTTAAAGAAATGATTTCCAAAAGATTAATGCTGTTTTAGTACCAGGACTGAAAATAGAGCAATTGAAAGTTGGAGTACTAGGTTTTCTTTACAACACTACTTTGACCACATTAAACATGTGTAGTCTTTTCTTTCTTATTTATTGCCTTATTATTTATTTCTGCCATCTTGCCAATAATGAATTTTGATCACCTTGACTATAAATTTAGTACTTGTTGTGCTTTCCAGTGCTAAACTTTGGCTCTTTGTTTAACCTTTTCAGTTTTAATAACTGGAGAAATAATATGAATATCTAATGCAAGACTGATTCAGGGTTGCAGGGGAAATCATAATTCTTATTTTCTCACTTTTTTCCTCATAACATGATCGTGATTCTGCTGGTCTTAGGAGTTTCTTTGATCGAAGTTACATTTATATTTCGCCCTCATCTTATATTGCAGGTTGAAAATGTGAAATTATTAGATCGCTATACAAATAGGAAGGCAGCAAACGGGACATTATATCTGACAGCTACTCATCTCATCTATGTAGATGCTTCTGCTGAAGTCAGAAAAGAAACATGGGTATGTTGTGGTACCTGGGCCTGTTCAGATGACAGTGTAAACATTTGTTATATCTCGCAGCCAAAATGAACAATTTTGAAAATTCTGAAGCTGTAGTTTTTCATGGTATTTTAATATCAATTGCTTTACAGAAATGGCAATTTTAGAAGGAAAGGATCACAACCCTAACATAACTTGATATAGGTCACGTAGTGAATAAGTGTTAGTTTCATATATGTGTCTACCTTTCTGCCCAAGCTCAATATGCTAAGCTGCTGTTCCTTAGTTTACAGTTTTAGAAATGTAAAAACCTGAAATTAGCACTTGGTTTTAATTACAAAATAAATTGAGAACGACAAAGTATTGCCTTGGGGTTGGAGGGGCGGTGAAATGACAAGAATTCAACTCCTTTTATAACCTGTAAGAGACAGTTGCACAGCCTCTAAAAGTAATTTATATAAGTATTTATTTATTTATTTTTCATGGTCTTTCTCTTAGTTACCTAACCTCCGGGTGCACAGGCTGGGTGTTATTATGTTTGCTTGATAAATGTCACAAACTTATTTTCTGCTGCTAGTATTGAATTAGACGCGGTAAGCATAAGTACCTAATAGTACTGCCGACTCTTTCCATCTGCTTGTAACGCTCCTGGCCTTATCAGCGACTTCCGAAAGATTTAGTTGACTTCCTGTTTTTCAGATCCTGCATCACCATATTGCAACTGTAGAAAAATTGCCTCTGACCACAGCGGGATGCCCTCTCCTCATTCACTGCAAGAACTTCCACGTGGCACACTTTGTTATCGGGCAGGAACGGGACTGTCACGAAGTGTATACCTCATTGCTTAAACTTTCACAACCAGGTATTTGGGAGGGAGTCTGTTTTGCAAGTGTTTTTTTGAAAGGCAGTGAGCTGGGAGGCTCCTCTGAGCAGCAGAGAGCTCTGCTTGTTGGGTATTGCCTTGGCCGCAGCAGCAAATCATCATCTGTTTC